AACAAGTCAGTGAGTCAATGAACCAGTGAGCAAGTGAGCCAGTGAGTCAGCGAATCAGTGAGTCAGTGAGTCAGCGAGGTTTGAGGTTGGCTTGTAACGCAGTCTTCAAAAACCCAGGTGCACTTTTTCAAGCAAATCTTGTAACCCTTGGCAGATGTGGAGTTCGAACTGCCGTAATTTTCCAACTCTCAGGCGCCCGTGGTACCAGTGCCGCCGCCGCAAATGACGCCGCCTGTGGCGCCGCACGTGGCGCCTACGGCGCCCGCCTCGCCCGGCGGCCCGAAACCGTCTGCCGTGGCAATTCCGACGCCGGCCACGCCGCCCAAAGCGGCGGCGAAGATTGCGCCCAGCCGGCGACCTGAAGGCAGGCCTGAAAACCAGTGAGACTCGAGTGGGCGCGAGTTTTTTTGGATGAAGGTAGCATCTTCATTGTCCCATTCTGTACATTCTTGCCCAAATATGTTCCATGTCTGTGTTTTGCCAGCATTGGAGCCGCCAGCAAATTCCCAAATCTGAGTGGTCAAGTCAGACAGGGATGTAAGAGAATTGGGTAAAATGCGAGCTTGTGCATTACTTTGCCAGCAACTGCAAAGTTGCAAGCAGGAGGTTGACTTGCGCCAGTTAAGGGCCCATCCGCGCCATGTTGGGACCCCAAAAGGGAATCAACCCCAGTAGTGCCCTTGTACTTTTTTTTTGGGGAGGGTTCCCCTACTAAAATAGACTTCAGAAAAAAGGGTACCCGGTACCCTTTTTCTAACCTGTCTATTGGAGGACCTAGTTTAGGTTTGTTCTGGTCTCTTCAAAAGGTGATCGCCCTTCGTTTTCCGTGAATTTCAGTTGATGACTTTAGCTGGCCATGTGTCAAGGCTACCGCAAGTTGATTGATCCCTGTCGATGTGCTTACGTCCAAGCACTCGGGCCTCCGAAGAAGACCCATGCTGGTCACGGGGACTCGATATACAGGACACCTCAAACCACATGCATAGGATTGCAGAGGCATGGCAGAAACCCCCTTTTTCTTGGGACAGATTCGGACCTGAAGGAACCATGACCATAAAGCTGCGTTGGGTAGTTTTACCATGGATCAGACTACCTGGAGCCTCCATGACATTCCACGACCGTTTAAACATAGGTCCGTGACCCCTTTATTTTGGGTAATGGCCCCATTTTTTCAATGGTCATGGAGACTCTAGGTAGAGACTTTTAGTTTGAGGGTCTTCCAAAGAGGGTCTCTAAGTCCCCCAGAGTGCCCTTTCTCACCCCTTTGTTGGTTGCGAGGGTTCCCCTAAAATCGACTACAGACAAAAAGTCGGGTACCAACTTATTCTAACCCCTCAAATCTGGAGGACCTAGGTCTACCCATTTGGCACAGTTCCGGTTTGGGAGAAGACGCCTCGCAGCTCTGCAGGTGCCATCCAGGCAAAGCAGAGGCTGGAGGCGGATCCCGGGAATCTCTCACTCGGGAGGGATCTTTGCGAGAGTGTGAGTCTGGGTTTGGAACTCACTCTCTGCGTTCATGGGCTTTGAGCTTTTTCGGAAGAGAATTTGAGTGGCAAGCAACAAGTTCGGACTTGTTTGGGCAGTTTACTCAGGAATGAGAACAATTCCAACAGATGTTGTTGGATCCCAAGTAAAGGCCCGACATCATGGCTTTCGCTTGTTTAAGCCCTGAATCGGTGAGCTCGAAACCCATAGGCGGACGAAGTCGGGGTCACACACGCATTCACAAGAATGCGAGTACTAGAACTCACCCAGGCCGTTTTTTTTTGTTGGGGGGGAGTCCTCAAACTGGCGGATCCCCCTTTTTCTAGGGCTATATACCTTCCCCATTCTTTCCAGGAATCCTTCTTTCCAGAAAGCCTCCAGAAACCCCCGGAAAACGGATCCGGTTTTTTAAAGGAACGATGGTTGAACAGAATGGACAAGGACTCAACCCCTGAATCCCAGAGCAAACCTCAACTCCCTCTGGAAGGTCCCAGCCTCACAGCGCCTAGCGCCCGCCCTGCGGCCTCTCTTGCAGGAGATCAAAGCGCGACGAAGGGGCCCCTCACGCCGCCTGGAATGACCATGGCGTGCGATCGGGGCGAGAGGTGGGGGCATTGACATTGACTTCCGGGTGTTGGTTCAATGAACCGGTTTTGGGGCTTTCCTCAAAGGAAATATCAGGGGATGGCTGTTCCTGGGGGCGTTTCAATTCTCCTTCCCTGTCGAACCAGCAAGTTGTTCTCCTGGTTTTTGGAGGGGATTCCAAAATGAACATCAACCACCAAACATTATTTCCTTTTCAGACATGGCTTCGGCAGCACAACAAATCCTTGCCACATGCGTTCACAGCTTCAAACAGAGTTCCCAACAGATTTGTCGTTGAAGGGAGCAAATGGTCTCTTTTAGGTTCCATGCTGATTTTCGGGGGTGAGCTGATGGGCTCGGTCCCTTGTAGCTTCCGTGTTTGTTTTCGGGGTGGTTCGGAGCGAGCAGCACGGGAGGGAAGATGTCTGAGCCCAACGGATCAAAGCACAGCGCTTTGCCCTGACAGTGGGTAAAGTGGAGAGTTTGTTCATTTAAAGTCGCACCCCTGAATTGCAATTATGGCTCTTTGGGAGTATTCTGAAGGTGACATTGCAGTATTCTTCAGACGTCGAAATTCCGAAAGGAAATGGGTGGATTCTCCAGACCAGAAACACTGGCAACTGGTTTGCCACTTGTAATATATATTTTTTTCACTGGCGACCGGTGCGCGTGCGAGTGCGATCAGCGGAATGCTAGGTTCGATTCCCGACGATGTCACTGCTTTGGATTCCATGATCGACGGTGACACAGCAGTGGACGCCATGATTGACGACAAGACCGCGCTGGATGCCATGATTCAGGCGAGGGTGGACTATCTTATTGGAAAGTGCATGCCATCCCAAAAAGAGTAGGCTTCCTCCTGGTTAGTGTATGCCAAACTGGTCACAGGGAAAAAGGCCAATCCTGATTCCACGTGCATGCCGCTGCGGCGTTCCTGCCAGCCCGCGTGCCTTTCGAGTTCTAGTGGAGAGCCTTGCAGCGTGCAAAGTCATGGCATTTGACGCCGCCTTTATTTTTTTCAACCCGGCGTGGTCTAGCTGTGTCTCAAAAGAAATACAAGGAGACGAGGCACATTTATTTCCACATTCCTTGATGAGAGCTTCGAGGATCCTTTCAAGATGCCTTGCATCTTGTAAGGAGGCTGGCCCCAGCCCCAAGTATCTTGTGCCAAACTAGACGGGTACGCGTCAGTGTCCATGTTAATTTTGTTGGCATTGGGTTCAAAGGAAGCTAACATTATGTGTATATATACAATGCAGCCAACCATTGGATTTCTTCCTGATTTTGATACGCCAGGTGTGGCCATTTGAGTCAAGTGGTTCAAGGGTCCATGTCATATACCACATACCCGGGGAGAGTGTACCCAGAAGGGAACCTAATCCCCAAGTCATCTTCAAACCATACCCTTTGCTTGGCTACGTGCCACCTCGTTCGGGTGTCCAGCGCTGGTAGTGCTGCCATAGGCTGGGGTATATGACAGCCCTTGCTTGAGTCGATTATTATGTCAGGTTTCGTCGAGACTACAAGCAGGCTATGGTTTATTTGGCAGGCTATGATATATTTGGGATGGGGAGACGAGCTCTAAATTTCCCGCAAAAGCCAGGCCACTCGCGAATCGTCCAAGCCTTGTCCTTATTTTGACTGTAGCTCACGTATTCATGACATGGGCCAGCCATGCTCCATGAAAACCAGCCGAATTCGGCGATTTTTTTTGGGAGGCCTTGAGGCCTTTGGAGAATACCATGGGAGGTTTACGAATCGATCTATTTAGGCACACCATGAACTCTGGGATCCAGCGCATGAGGAGCTCCTTGGTTAGACAGGGTTCCACTTTTTGACTACCCCAAGATAGCTACCCTTCTCTCTAGCGGGAGCTAAAGAGCTACTTGAGTTCTGTGTAGTGTGGAATTAGTTTACACAGCGCCTGTAGTATTTCCAATTGAATTTTGCAGTTGTTCCCTTGGGGCATTGTTTGGTGCATTGTTGCAACATACTACAAGTGCACCCGAGTGCGAGCGCGCATTTGTAGTATTGCTGTAAAGTTGTTTTTGCTGAGGCGACCAGAGTCTGCAAAAATCGCAAACACACACACACACACACACACACACACACACACACACACACACACACACACACACACACACACACACACACACACGCGCGCGCGCACGCACACACACACAAACGCGGAGCTTACAACCACGGCTTTTGTCTAGAACTCTTTCCGAGAAGAACAGGTCTGATTAAAACCAAGAGCGTCCCATGGGGCCAAAGACAGAATGAAAAGGAATTGGGTCCTTCCAAGAGGGCCTTCGTGTTGGCCTGCGCTTGGTTTTGACAAGTTTTTTCCGGCTTTTGTTTCTCGGAAATTATTCTGGACAAAAGCCGTGGTTTTAGCTCCAATTTGTGCGTGTTTGCGTTTTTTCACAGTGCAGTTTTGCGACCGACTCCCTGCTAGGGCCTGCCATTGCGCTGGCGGAAGACGTTTAGGAGCCCTGCGTCCTAACAAGGCGTCGCTCAGCAATTCCTGTTGGTTTTTGTTCATTGCCCCCGCAGCCCCCCTGTCGGAGCCTTGCATTTGGGAGACGCGTGGAGGCAGGGCGTAGCAGGTGGCGGCCGTTCAGCATTTGAGGCTAGTGACCTCTAAAGCAATTTATGTAGGGGCCATGTCCGCCGGGAAGGTGCTGATTTTTTTGGTTTGGGGGAGCACGGGGATCTTGTGTTTTGCGGCGGCTTTGTGCTAGCCGCAAAAGCCTTGACCTTGAGGGTTTGACTTTATTCGGCCCTATGGCAGCTTGCGGCGCTTGGGTGTCCTAATCCCACCTTTCCACAGCGTTTCCAAAAGAGCGAAAATCAATAATCAAAAGGCCTTCTGAGAGGATTCTCCTTGACGCTGGGGTTTGGAACCTGGAAGCCATTCTACGGGGAAATGTAGACGGAAAGGTGCGCAAAAGCTGAGGGCCTTTGTGTGCAGATTAGGACGAAGGGCTCCTAAAACAACCCCCTTCCCCTGAGAAAGAAGTTCTGGTCGCGCCCCACCAACTGTCGAAAGATTGCCTGAGAGCAAAGCGGGCTGACCTTTGTTTTGTTTCCCAGGTGTGAATCTTGAAACAGGTGTGACGCCGAAGCAGGGTTTGCTTTATGATGATAAATGTCTTCGGCCCTCGCGGTTTCCAGCAACAAATTCTTATGGCCTACAATGCCCAGAAACCAAAAAGCACACAACGAATTAGGCGTGTGCCCTCAAGCCGCGGCCGAAGGAAAGGATAGGGGTCAGAGAGCTTGTGTAGACAGGCCTGCTTAAAGGCGCGCCATATATCGCAGGTAAGGTTTAGGAACTCTGCGTCCTAACTTTTCGTAATCGCACCTTTCCGGCCACATTTCCCCGTAGCATGGCTAGTAGGGCTCTTGCTACAGCGTACCCAAACGAGCGAAAGTCAAAGATCAAAAGGGTCGGGGCCTTCCAAAAAAAATCTCTCACTGACGCTGGGGTTCAGAACCTGGAAGCCATTCTACGGGCAAATGTAGCCGGAAAGGTGCGCAGGAAAGCCCTTTGTGACAACCCTCTGTCAGTGCAGATTGGGATGAAGGGCTCCTAAAACACCTCCCTCCCCTGAGAAGTTCTGGTCGCGCCCAGCTGTCGCAAGATTATCTGAGAGCAAAGCGGGCTGACCTTTGTTGTTTGTTTCCCAGGTGCCTATCTTGAAACAGGTGTGACGCCGAAGCAGGGTTTGCTTTATGATGATAAATCTCTTCGGCCCTGGCGGCTTCCAGCAACAAATTCTTATGGCCTACAATGCCCAGAAACCAAAAAGCACAACGAATTATGCGTGTGCCCTCAAGCCGCGGCCGAAGGAAAGGATAGGGGGTACAAATCATCATAGAGCTTGTGCAGACAGGCCTGCTTAAGGGCGCGCCATATATCGCAGTAAAAGTTGACGAAGAGAGCGCTGCAAGCTTAGCATTCCAAACGCGGGCGCTGGCACCAAGGACCAACGCTTTCTGTTTCCACGTCATTTGTCTTTCCTGCGCCGCACTCGGAGCCGAGGGTCCTGTTGGGAGGGTGCTTTGCGAATTCAACATCAATTTTGAAACCGGAAGGCAGGGGTCCTAGCTCGAAAGCCAACCGCATGTGTGCACACACGACCCTCTTACGAGTCAAAAGCCCTACCTTCCGAATTCAAAATCGATTTTGAATTCGTAAGGCGCCCTCCCAACAGGACCCTAGGCTAGGAAACCTAAACCAAAAGGATTAGGAGGTGTTGCTTGTAATTTTAGACTTGTTAGGCTGAGGGCGTGTGCTAGCTGTTGTTTGGCAATCTTTAGCTTCGAAGTCCTGTGTAGCTGTAGTTGTTGTCTTGCAATGTTTCATTTGTTGGTTTGCGGGGGAACTGTTTTTGGGTTTCTGATTTTTGCCGCTCGCTTCCCTATAACCAGGGTAGCTTATTAGGGGCCAAAACTGTTCTATCCCCTTTTCTGACTAATTTCTCGAGCCAACATCACCCAAACAGCTCGGCTCTACTACCCAACCCTGACCTACTAGTAACCTAACCTTATTAAGACAAGACATGGCGTTTTCAATAACTGATAGAACGTTTGGAGGTTATTTAGGAGATAACTTTTCGAAATGGATGTTTTGTGGTGTGTGATCGAACATTTTTGTGGTGTGTGATCGAACGTAGTTAAGCTGGTCATGGCAGTCCATTTAAGCCCCAGAAGAACCTGCTTTGAAGAAATAACTCAAAGCACACACCAACGCATTATTTAAACTAAGAAAGCAACTTTAATATCTCACCAAAACATGGTTCAGAAATAGCACGCAAACACCGCTCAATTGTTTTGGGACGCGCAAACATGTGCCGGGAAAGCTTGAGACATGAGGCCTTGCATTTTGTTTGGGGGGGGGGGGCAAATGTTTTGCAAAACCTGTGAACTGGCAATTTCGCAACAAGAGTTTTTTCAAAGACATGTTTTGGGTGGAGACTTGGGGCTGTAATAGTTTGTACTGGAGACTTGAGGCCTGGCAGATTAGGGGCCTGAGTTTTGAAGAGCGCATATTGCCCTGGACTCGTGGTGCTTGGATTTTTTTAGCAGGAATTTGGAAACCAAGCATTTTTGCTGGAGACTGCAGGCCTCGCAATTGTTTGAGCGAGAGTTTTGGAGAGCAAAGATTTGTGCTGGACACTTGGGGCCTGCCAATTTTGAAGCAGGAGTTTCGGAAAAGAGGTTCCGGGCTCAAACTTGAAACTTGCCAATTTGAGAGCATGAGATTCGGACAGCAAAGATTTGTACTGGACTCTTGGGGCCTGCCAGTCGGGGTGCACGAGTATATGAAAGCAAAGAGTTTGGGGTCTAACTTGAGGCCTGCCAATTTGGGAGCAGGGGTTTTGGAAGGCAATTTTTGTGGGATTCCAAAAAATGTTGGAAAGTAATTATTTGCGCTGGAGACTTGAGGCACGGCAGTTTTTGGAGCATCAGTTTTGGAAAGCAAGCGCTTGTGTTGGAGACTTGAGGCCTCGCAAATTCAGCGCATGCGTGTTGGGCAGCGAATGTGTGTGTGTGTGTGTTGGAATTGCGGCGCTTGTCAATTTCGGGAGCAGGAGTTATGGAAGGCAACCATGTTTTGGTGGCGGCTTGAGACCTTTGGAAGGCAAATTATTTTGGTGGACACTTGAGGCCTGGCAGTTGGAGGCAGAGGTTTTGGAAAGCGAAGCTTTGTGCTGGAGACTTGAGGCCTAGCATGTCGGGGCAGGATTTTTGGAAACCAAAGCTTGGTGCTGGAGATTTGAGGCTAGGTAAT